GGGGGGGGGTGGGGGTGGGGCGAGGAAAGACCAGAGATAGTGGGGTGGTAAGCGCCCAGGGGAAGCTAAGATGCCAGGCAGCCTGGGGTGGCCAGTGTCTGGAGGATGCCTCTGAACTTGCATGTGACCAGAGACAGGCTCCTTGGCTCCTCAGATCCCCGAGCTCCAGGCGGTAATGTGATGGAATCACCAGCTCCAGCGCTCCCGAATTCCGACGTCCTGTCTGGGATTCTCGGAGGGAGGCAGTATATGGGGGGGAGCCCTTCAGCCCTGGAGTCAGACTTGGGCTCAAATTACAGCCCCTCCTGTGTGGGTTTAGGCAAGTCACTTCTTGTCTCTGAGTCTTAGTTTTGTCATCTGTAAAGCAGAGCAGATAAAATAAGAAGAGTGGAAGGGTCTTAGCACTGGGTGGGCCTAGCACAGAATCTCTCCAGAAACATTAGCCATTATTGTGGTTTAAAAGGAAAATGAAGTGGTCCAGAGTGTCAGTCTCTTCACCACTGTCTGCACTGGAGGCTGGAGCGCTCTGCCCACAGCTGGGTCTGCGGCAGCCCCTCCACCCTGGCTGCCCCACGCGAGCCCTCCTGCCCTTCTAGAGGCCTCCATCTCTCCATCTACAACATGAAGGAGTTGGACCTCTCAGTGAGCTCTGAGGTCCTCTGTTATCCCCTGGGAGCCACTGCATGTCGAGTGGGGTCAGACAGGCCACAGGGCGGGGCAGAGAGCAAGAGAGGCTGCCGAGCTGATGGCGCAGAGGCCCGGGTTTGTCCATGGCTGGGCAGGCCATCCCCAGGAGCTCTCCTGAGCAGGGGTCCTGATTGCCACCAATTGTGTGGCTGGTGGGTCAAGGAATCAACCACCAGTGATAATTGCCCCTGTTGACCAGATGCCTACACTTGGTCATTTAAAGCCCACACCATCCCTGCAAAAAAGGTACCAGCCCATTTATCTGATGCCAAAACTAAGGCGGGGAAGGGTGGGACCTGATGTCATAGTTTCGGGAAGTTGGCAGTGCCTGGATTTTGACCTAGCTCTGTCTGATTTCAAGGCCTGTGGTTTACCCTCAAAGTGGTGTTTGGGGTGGGGGAGAGGGAAGGAGGACTAAGAACCCCTATAATATTATTTTATTTAATCTTCACAACAAACTACAAGTTAGGCCCATTTTACAGAAGGAGAAACTGAGGCTTCAAAAGAATAACTTGCTTGAGATCACAGAGCCAGTAGATCTTATAGGCCGCATGTCGTTTATATGAGGGACATGTTTCTAGAAGATAATGTTTGGGGTTGGCTAAGGGTGCAATAGAGCATGTCTGTAATCAATTATGCAAGTTCACATGTGGGCAGTTATAGTTCAAGAGTGGATAAATTTACATGCTGAGTAGGTTGTGATGTGTGGGATGTGAGTGGGGTATGAAACAGGTTTCCAGACTGTGACTCATAAGCAGTGGGTCATGCGTGTTGTGTGTTTGGTAAAGTGTTTATGTCACGCTCTGTGTACTTGGTAGCTTGTCATATGTGGACTATCCAGCTGGTGGGTCTTCTCTGTAACGGGTCATGTATGTGGCATGTCATGGCTCACCCCAGTGGACCATAGACCTCATTTAATTCAATCTAACATGTAATCTATAGAGATTGAAAAATTGTTATTTTTGTTACCAGTGAAACTCTTACAGGCCAATAATCACATCCCACTTCTGGTGACGGGGGAGTGTGCCTCTTGGAACTGACGAGCCGCCGTGTGTGGAGGTCACATATGGCTGGCTTGTGAGAGGAGTAGCTGTGTGTGGCCCATCCCAGGTGGCCAGACAGGTGGCAGGACCTGTGGTCAGCTCCTCAGGGGCCCCTCCCAGAGCTGTCCCTCCTTCTCCTCTGTGTTTATCCCTCAGTCAGGTCTCCTGCCCAGCTGAGCTCTGTCTCAGCTACTGGAGCTGGGGTCTGATGTCCCCAGGTGGGCACGGGAGGAACCTGCCAGTGGTTGAAGTCTCCTTCAGGCCTTTATCAAAACTCTAGGTGCAGACTGTGGGGTGGGGGTGGGGGTCTGTCTTCCTCCCTCCCTGGGAGTCTTGTCCTGACTAACAGACAAATGGGCCAAGATCTCCCCATTTTGCAGATGGGGAGATCGAGGCCCCAAGAGAGATGTGATTTGAACAAAGTCATCCGAATAGTGACAGAGCTAGCTCCTAAACCCGGGTCTCCTGACATCAAATCCAGCCTCTCTTCCCCTCCAGAACAATCACATCCCTATCTCAGTTCCGGTGGGACAATGGAGAGGGGCAGAACAAGGCTACACAGGGCAGAGAAGGGGCTTCTAATAACGGGAAGAACGAGGGGGATGCCTCTGCCCACCCTCAAACACACACCGCCTCTCCCACTGATTTGCCCACACAGAAACCCCGCCACCTGTTTACCCATTCACTGACTCATTCACTCTTTCACTAATTCACCCACTCATTCCTTGATTCACTCCATCACTAACACACCCCCTCGCCACTCGTTCGTCGGCTGTCGCTAATTGACCCTCTCTTGCTCCAGCTGGCCGAAGAGGACGGGCTCCCAGGCTCCCAAGTCTAGACCCTTCTGCCCTTGCCTGCACTTTCTACCTCCTGCACTGCGACCTCACCTCCCGGGCTACGTGGGGAGCTCCTGGCAGGGCCTGTGCCAAGGGCCCAGGGGGCCGGAGGGCATGACGAGAACAGGGTGAGCGCTGCAGAAGGCAGGCACGACCAGCTGCCGAACTTGCAGGGCGCCGCCTTCAGAAATCACTCAGAATCTCAGCCACAGCAGAGCATTAAAGCAAACACAGGGACCTAAGCGCGCAGGCCTGTGCGACTGCCGGGGCGACAGGCCCACGAAGGCCCCTCTGAAGGGGGCGAAGGGTGGAGAGAAGAGGGAGATAGAAATGGGATGGTGGGGGGAGGAGGGATGTACACTTGATAGGTGCTGCCTGGTACCATCTCGTTTAATACCCAAGCCACCGTTTGAGGTCGATGATGCCTTTTACAGAGGAGGAAACTGAGGCTGCAGGAGGAGAATCCTTTACCCTAAGTCATGATTGGTAGGGGCTAGGCACCTGAGTGTAATCCAGGTCTGTGGGGCTGCAAGTCTCCGGCCGTTGAGGGGGGTGGGGGAAGGAAGCAGGAGGAGGTGAGGGCCCTGGGGGACGGCGTCTGGCGGGGCCTGAACAACTGGCCGCTGTGGGGGCTGGTGGCGGCCACAGGGGGTGTCATGGGGAGCAGGGGAGGAGAACCCGGGGTGAGTCCATGCTATGCCCCAGGGAGGTGGGCAACTGGAAGGGAGTTCCCAGAAGGAGGATCCAGAAGATTGGTGTCTGGGGCCTGGGATTTAGGCCTTTAATTCACGTGCCACAAGGCACCTTTATCTCCTCGAGAGCATTGAGGGTAGAAGTCAATGATTTGGGAAGTTACTGAATCAGGGCATCTTGGAGGTGGGCTGTGAGTGTCTCAGCATATCAGTTAGAATGCCTCACTTGGGGCAACAATGACTTGGGGGGGGGTGGCTGAGTCAGGGGTCAAATGAGTGCCGGCGAGTTAGCGTGCCCATCTTACAGAAATCCATAACTGAATATCGGGCAGGTAGGGCCCCAACTGTTGTAATAGCACCCCGGTGTCCACCAGAAACCAACAAATAGCCAAATCCCTGCAGCCCCGCCCAGCCTCTCCGCCAGTGGGGGAGCCGATTAACCATTAACCCCCACCCCTCCCCGGCAGAGCCTCCACCCCTTCGCAGGGGCTAGGCCAAGACTCCCGGCAGATCCTCCCAGAGGACGGTTTGAAACGCAGGAAGGCAGAGAGGGCCCCTGGGAGGAGGCGGTGGGGAGGGTGGAGGGCGGGGGCCGGGGCTCTGCCCGGAGACTTCGGGGTGGGCATCCTGGGCAGGGCGAGCGGCCGAGGTGTGGGAGGGGAGGATGCGCCTCTCCAAAACCCTCGTCGACATGGACATGGCTGACTACAGTGCCGCGCTGGACCCAGCCTACACCACCCTCGAGTTCGAGAATGTGCAGGTGTTGACGATGGGCAATGGTATGTGGGGGCAGGTGTGCCCAGGTGTGCCGCTGGGGAGCGGGTCTGTGGCACTCAATGCTGGGCTGGGAGGAGAATGATAGAAAAGGGCAGGTCGGCTCTAGAGGTCAGTACAGGTGAAACAGGTGTGCCCAGGTACAGCGACCAGAGGCATTCTGGGTGAGGGGAGACCTGCGTGGGCAACTCTCCAGCAAAAGTGGATCCCAGGTATTCCTATCTGGCCCGTCCGGTCCCTGGTACCTCAAGGCTATCTCTGCTCAGTGCGTCACTGGGAGCGGCTACATAATGGTGACCTCCCCCTTTGCGTCTAGCTCCAATAATTGGGCCCGACTATGCCCTTTCCTGAACCCTTTGGGCTTAGGTCCAGAGAGATAGAAAGGTGTGTTCTGTCCCTGGAGATTCTGGATGGAGGCATCACTGGGTGTCTTTGGGACTTTCCTGGGGTGAACGCCCCACTTAGAAAATGGAGTTCTTAGGGAAGTTCTGTTCAGTGAGATGCCAATCAGCAGTGTGTGTTGTGGTGTGCTCATGGCCTCGTCTAGGTGTGTGTGCACGAGTTTCTGTGCACTCCTGTGTGGGTGGGGGGGTTACTGTGTTGGCATGTATGGGCCTCCGGGAATCCATTTGCGTGTTTGTGTTCATTTGTCTGTGTGCGCTTGTTCTGTCCGTTTCCGTTTGTATTTGATTACTGCACCTGTGTTCGCTGGTGTGTCTAGAGGTGCGTGTGTTTGTCTTGCTTGTGTACGGAAGCAGCAGTGAGTGTGTGTCTGTGTATCTGTGGATGTTCGCACACAGGCGCTGTGGATGCAGATCTGTTAGTGTGCCCTGTGCTTTCTGGACGGATGTCCTGTATGCACATTCTGTCTCGTGCCCCTGTTTGTACCTGCTCCTGTCCAGGTGCGCGTTCCTGGACCGGGGGGTGATCAATACTCTCCGCTAAACTCGATTATGCAGACATGATATGCAGGGCGTTGATAATTGCCGTTTGCCAAAGGAGATTCACCTGAGCCACACGTCCATTTCTCTCTGAGCTGATTTTGTTGCCCACGTTGTCTCTCCCCAGGTTTATATATTTGTTCCCACACCACCAAGAGCACATCTGAAGCTGGGGTGGGAGGTTCTCCTCCCCAAGGAGGTAGGGGAAGGGAGGAAGCCTGGAAGCTAAGAAGCTTCTAGAGGGGAAAGGCCCCAGGCCAGCCTCAAATAAGGTGTGTGGCAGGTGACCAAGGTCAGCCTGCCACCTGCCTTCCTTCCATGGCTCTGCAGCTTCAGCCAAGGTCTGTGATGCTTGTGGTCAGATTGGCTTAGTCAGAAAGATGTGACTGCCATGCCCATGGTCAGCCTCACCTGCTGCTCACCTGTTCCTGCCGTGGACCCAGTGTGCGACCTCGGGCACATCCTGTCCCCTTGCTTGGCCTCTCTATCTGCTGCAAAATGGGTTTAATCACCGCAGGCCTGCTGGCCAGCCAGCTTTGAGGAGTGTCCACGTAAGGGAATTGAGGGGAAAATCACAGCAAATCGTAAGCAAAAAGCTTCTGCACTAGGCAGGGTGTCGTGTGACCCCCGGGGACATTGTGTGCTGTCACACTCCTGGCTACTGCCCAGCCCCAGACTATTCCCTGGGGCCAGCCCCGTCACCCCTTCAGAGCCTGCACCTTCCAGGAGTCGCATGCACCCGAAGCAGAGGCCACCACTGGGTGTCCCGTGGATAGCACGGCCTCCGGCTCAGGAGCCAGAAAGATCTGGGCTCAAAAGTTGGGCATAGATCCTTCCTACCTGTGTGAACTCCACAAGCCATCTTCCTCTCTGAGGAAGCTCTCTGAGCTTCTGTTTCCTCGTCTGTCAAATGGGAACACCTAATAGCGCCTGCCTCCCAGAGCTAATGGGAAGACTCAGTAAGGTGAGGCCCCTGGTGCTCAGCACTGGTAGCTGGTCCTCACCCCACATGGGTCGTCTCAAGGACACTGGGCATCCGTAAGAAGGGCCTGCGTTCTCTACTGGCCTTTGAGGGGGCGTGAGTGTTGGGATTACATTTTACATACCTCCTGAGCTGGTGGCTCCAGCTCTCCATGGAGAGCTCCCCACCTGTCTCCCACCCCTGATTTGGAAGCAGCGACAACAGCAGGGTCTTTGTTCATCCGAGGCCCCAGCAGACACCCTAGCAAGGGCAGCGCAGGCCAGAGTCGTCCAGCACGGGCCACAGTCATCCAGCACACCTGGGCTGTAAATCTGGCTCTTCCACTTAGCAGGAGTGGGGTGACCCTGGGCAAGTCACTGGTCCTCTCTGAGCCTTGGTGTTCTCACCCGGAGAATGGAGTCTGCCTGCCGAATGCAGTGGTGAGGTGAAACACTCAGCAGCACCCGGCCCCTTCTGCGCAGGATGGAGGAACCCCCGCCCCCAGCCTCCACCTGAACGGCCAGGAGTTGTGGGGTCATATCTCCCCAGGGGTTGAGGGAGGTGAGGCTGAGGGAGAAAGGGCACCAACGTGGCTTAACAATTATCCCCATCTCCGGGAATAATTCACCAAGTGGAGGGGGCCGAGCTCTGGGCACCCTCAGGAATCTAGGAGATGTCAGCCAGGCGACAGCAGAGATGAGATGCGGCGGTGTCCGCTTACGCCTGAAGGCTGGATGTCATCTGCTCCAGGAGTTTGATTCTGCAGAAAAGATACTCCTTCACAAATGCTGATAACAGTGCTTTTTATGTACTGAGCATGTCACCTACACTGATTCACTGAATCCTCCTCGCAGTCTTAGGGGATTATTATGCTCCCTATTTCACACGCAAGGAAACAAAGACATGGAGTAAACTCAGGCAGCCCATGTCACCCGGCTAAGAAGTAGGCAAACTCAGACTTAAGCTTGGCAGAAGGGCTATAGCATGTATGTATGCCCTTAACTGCAGCACGATGCCCCTCTCCAGTTCTCAGTGGGGTGTTCCTTAGGAATTCAAGGTCGGATTCGGGGGATCCATGGAAACCCGTGTATGTATGACTGTGTAGTGTGCATTTGCACGCATTTTTTCCGGAGAGATGGTCCACGGCGTTTATCATCTCCAAGAGATCTGTCTGTCCTTGATGGAAGATCTGGTTACACAAAGATGGTTCGGCTACTGAAATTTAAAAAAAAAATTGCAAACAACCGGAACAGCCTTTTACAGTTAGGGAGACTGAGGCCCAGGGGAACTTGAAGAGAGGAAAAGGAACTCGCCCAAGGTCACAGATGAGTTAGTGGAGCACTAGCATCCAAGGACCCCAAGCACCCCATCCACGCTCTTTGCCGCCTGTCTCTTACCCCCTTCTCAGACTTATATAGATGCAATGGTTTTGCGTCTGAGGCAGGTGGTATTTGGAAGATTCCCAGAACCTTGCCATGACCCTCCCAGGGGGCCAGATGGGTCACTGTCCTTGGTGCATGTCTTCCAATTCCCTGGGAGAGTTTGCAAGGCCTCTGGATACGATCTGAGCAGGTTCGGAGCAGATGCTGGGGGTCTATGTGCCCAGTGAGTCAGGGTCTTTAAGGTTCAGATGCATCCCAGGGGGTGGTCAAGTTTTCATTACTTCCCAGAAAAAACTGGGCCTAGCAGTCTCCACCGCGGAGTAGCAGACCCTCACTAATGACTCTGGTAAGTCATTGTCACAGCCATCCCTAAGTAATAAGTGCAAAACAGGAGTTCCAAATGCCAAGGGACTTGCCCAAGGTCATTGAGGGAGTGGGAACAGCACCCGGGTCTGGATAAGGCTGAAGCCCTGAGGGGGAGATCCCCACAAGGCTCATATTGGTTTCTGTACCTAAGCCCCCAGGAGAGCAGGGCCCCTCCTGAGTCCTCACGCTTGTCTCCTCTGGTGCAGACACATCCCCATCAGAAGGTGCCAACCTCAACGCACCCAACAGCCTGGGTGTCAGCGCCCTGTGTGCCATCTGTGGGGACCGGGCCACTGGGAAACACTACGGTGCCTCGAGCTGTGACGGTTGCAAGGGCTTCTTCCGGAGGAGCGTGAGAAAGAACCACATGTACTCCTGCAGGTGAGGAGCCCCTGCTTAGAGGCTTGATTTCTCTAGCTGGGAAATGGGTACGCTTGGGCTAATGATGTTCCCCAGAGTCTGTCTGCTCCCTCACTAGGTCCCAGAGGCATCTGCCTTCTGAGGCCTTAAAGCTTCCTCTGGTTTCTGAGGCCTCGGGGATCCAGATGGAAACATCCATTCTAGGAACCTCATTCACTGATCATAAAGCTACCAGCTGCCCTTTACTGAGCACTTACTGTATGTCAGACATACTGAGTCTTTGTATGTATTTAAGTGGCCCTACAAGCCCATCGTTATTTTTCCGATTTAGCAAATGAGGATCCACGAGGCTTGGCATCAAGCCTCCTCTGAAGCCTCAGAGGATGGGGCCCATCCCCCAGCCTGGTGCTTTTCCTGGGGCAAATAGGGGATTGGCCTCAGGCCTTTCTGCCTACCCCAAGGGCTTCCCAAGGCCTTGGGGATCCTTCCTTCGAAAGCACCTCCCATTCTGAGTAACAACAATAATAAAATAATAGCATTCAGTTATGAGGAGTTGCCATCCGCAGATGCTGTGCCAAGTCCCATCCACATATTTTCTCATTCCCGCCTGTCGACACGCCTCTGACACGGTTGCTATGAATCTTCCTGTTTTATAGATGAGGAAGCTGTGGCTTGGAGAGGGCCAGGAATCTGTCCAAGGTCATCCAGCTTGAATCAATGGCAGAGCCCCCATTGACACTCAGGGGTCTGCCCTTCCCCGCCCGTGGGGCACTGCTTCTGCCTACAAGAGAGTCACTTAGGCCAACCACGTACTGGCTCTGAGCCATAACAAGAAGCCTGCCAGGCGCTCTGGGCTTCCCTAGAACGTGGGAGGGAGAGCAGTGCCCCGTCCTCAAGGGGCTAGAGTTCCCAACTCAGTTCTACCATCAGGCTGAGTGATCCCGGGCTACGTGCCACCTCTCCAAGCCTCAGCAGGACAGGGGTGGATTCTTAGAGAGTCCACGAAAGAGGCCTTTCTCGTGGTTAGCATGACTCTCGTGATGGGGGCAGGGAGGCTGGGAGTCAAGGCGGGGATGGCCAGCGTTCTAGTTCAGCCCTGGGTTGGGAGGGCTGTGCCTTCTGCATCCCACCATCCGAGCCCTCCCCAGGTTTAGTCGGCAGTGTGTGGTGGACAAAGACAAGAGGAACCAGTGCCGCTACTGCAGGCTCAAGAAGTGCTTCCGGGCTGGCATGAAGAAGGAAGGTGAGCCTCCGTCCTCCAGCT